GCACATATCATTTCCATTCCTACTCTGCATGCTTTCTTCCAGGAAAACATTTACTAGATAGAAGACTCAGAGCTTAGAAACGCTGCTTTCTTCTTCTTTGGACTCCAGCTCCCAGAATTCCCCAGTCAGCATAACCACTCCAGCTAAAAGTATCTCAAGAGGGCTGAAATACTCCTGTCTTAGCAAATGGTGATCAGCATTCCTGTTTCCTATCTGACAGACAAGAAGACGCTGGAAAAGCATCTAGTGTGGAGCTCTTTCTGGACTACTTCCTTTCTTCTGCGTTTCGTCTGTTGTTGTTTTTTTAATTCCTTCATCTACTCCAACTGAGTCTTTCTGCAGAATCTCGAGGACTTCACTGAGCTGCATTTCTTTTCCCCACCATTAAGATCGATTATCTCTAGAATTCTGTGCAGTGGTCATTCTAGTGCCTAAAATTCCCACTCAGAGTTCATTAATTTTCATTTTCATGTTTACCTCCCATCTTGCCCAAGCAGACCTCTTTGATTAGAGGGTTTCTGACAATCCAAGTCCCATGTGCATTCCCCCTTCCAGTTCAATCAAGATACACACAAAGCTAATGACTTGTCCTGTGTGAGATTTTCTGCAGCTGGCTTCTACCCACAGATGCCTTACAAATCCCCGGCTGGCAAGGCATCAGTGTATTAATATGGCTAATGGAACGGTAAAGCTTTATCTATTCAGAGGGGAGTAGGCAAGGCTTCAGTTACACTCTTTATTAAGTGAACTGGAACCATAAAGCAATGCCACCTAAACCAAAGGAAAGGGCTGTGGGTTGGCAGAGACCCAGCCCTTCTTCTCAGCGTATCTAATTATGTGCCCTACAGGTGTTCTGCTGTTGCTCCCCACTGCATGATGCTTCTAGGGTAGGCATCATTACAGTGGCCACACAGAAGCTATTATAGGAAGGCTGCCTATGGTTATGAACAGCCCTGAGAGCTTTCTACCATGTCAACCTTAGCCGTACATAAAAATAAATAAATCTGTTTTGGTCTGTTAGTGTCATTGAAAAATAAAATCTGATAGAAACAGAGGAGAAAGATGGGTTGATTAAAGGAAAACAGAACCCAGGAATGATGATTCCAAAGTATGCCGTCTATGTTGGGATGGTGTTTCTTGACATCTGGATAATTAAAGAGTTAACAGGGAAGGAGAGCTAAGACAAGTTACAGTGGTGCCTTGCTTAACGATGATAATCTGTTCTGGGAAAATCGCTGTTAAGCGAAAACATCATAAAGTGAAATTAAAAAGCCCACTGAAATGCATTAAAAACCATTCAATGTGTTCCAATGGGCTGAAAACGTGCCGTTCAGCGAAGATCCTCCATACGGTGGCCATTTTCGGTGCCTGTATAGTGAGGAATACATCCCTAAGCACAGCAGGGAGCCACTTTAAGCACCCGGTGGCCATTTTGAAACCCCGACGATCAGCTGTTTTTTATCGTCGTAAAGCCAAAATTGGTTCCCGAAGAAGGGAACCGATAATCACTAAGCGAAATTCCCCCATTTAGACCATTGTTTTGCAATCACAATTGCGATCACAAAAACATCGTCATAAAGCGGATTCGTCATAATGTGGGGTAATTGTTAAGCGGGGCACGACTGTACTTTTTAAAAAAAGACTACACCTCCCAGAGTCAGCATGGCCCCTGACTGACGGTTAATCCAAAAAAATATATTTTGCCCAACCTCTGCAAAGAAGGCTGAAGGCCAGATTATTGATGTGGTCAGAATAAGGGGCCTTTATGGCATTTGGGATGCCAAGACGGTCAAACGTCTTGGCTGTTTTTTCAGAGGGTTCTGGTTGTTACAGCAGGCAGTTCATGCCCTAATCATCAGCAAACCACTCTTTCTCTGGAGCATCCAATCCTACTTTGGCTGCAGCTCTGTGACTGTAACGGATGCAATTAGCTAATGAAATATCCCAGTTCCTCTTGGTCGCTGCTTCTGGTTGTTGGCATAGCCTGTTGCCGCAGCAGCCTTGCAATTAGGATTCCCAAAGTGTTTTGGCCACTGGGATCCAGTCCAGCCTCCTCCCAGCCAGGATGATCCAGGAGGGAGGGAGCAGTGGGTGGGAGTGGGTGGCACCCAGAACATCTCTAGGCTTCTGCCTTCTGGGCTTTGAGTCAATAAGTTTTGTCCTCTGCCTTCTCAATGGGTCTTGTAGCAATGTGTTGAATACAGTCTAAGGGCATGGTTACAACAGCAGCAGAGATCAAGATGGCAGGGGAATTTTGGGAGTTGTAGTCCAAAGCTCTATGCAGACCTACAAATGCATATATGCCAGTGGGCATGGCACTTCCTCAGGCCAGCCCCAAATATTTTTCTGTCTCAGGAAGAGAACAAGCTGATAGTTTCCATCTTGAAAAACACCACATGTGAAATCTGACCAGACTGGCAGTTGAATCTTATTCCAGCACTGGATTTTATCACTCCTGAGAGTAGGTGGCTAATGTGGAGAGCACAGAAAAGCCTATTGTGGTGCATATACAGCTGTATCCTGTGCCATGACCACTTAATGACACCCTCCAGCATCTGCTATCTGAGGCAGATTCCTAACTGTACCTTGGCCAAATATAATGAGCAGGGGGAAGATTTCTGTGACATATTTTTTTCTGCAATCTGTGTTTGAGTTTATGGGTGGATTTGAACATGTTTATGATTAATCTTGGGAGAAAGACCAGATTACTCATAAACATGTTTGAACTTGCTTATGGGTTCAAATGTAGGTTGCAGAGAAAATGTGAAATGTCCTAGAAATCCTTCCTCTAATCATGAGTAATTATGTTTGCTTCTTCTTCGTGGTCTCTGTGAATGCACACTAATGGGTTAATCTGCACCTGCGCAGAGGTTTCCAGAATCTTCTAGAGCTTAACACTTGTTCACCAGGACCGCCCACCCTATTGCACGTGGTCTGCCCGTCCTGGCTAGCGCCTCAGTTCCTTTTTGCCATCGCTGAGGTTTCTTCTCTCAGATGAGCTGCATTCGTCTCCTGCACTGAAAAAGGAATTTTCTTGTTAGAGATCCTCAGATAGTGAGAGTCTTCGTTATTCCTTCCTTTTGCTGCCCCCCTTCTTTAACCATCTTTATTTTTTTCCTTGTTTATGGCCTCCTCTGGACCATTTAAACACTGCACTTTGTGCCCCAATAAAATGTCATTCACCAATGGCCACGATTCCTGCCTTTTCTGCTTGGGTGAAGCTCACCAACTGGCTTCTTGCCCCTTTTGTAAAAAGTTTACAAAACAGGCACTTAAGTTAAGGCAGCAACGCCTATGGTCTTATTTGTGGGAATGTTCCCTTCGTCCCGTACCAACTATGGAACCTGCATCATTTTCTCAAGTCCAATCGGTTTCCCCAGGAGCCCTGGTTGCATCTTCGGTGAAATCGAAATCTAAGTCTAAGACCATTATTAAGTCTAATACCTTGGCTGAGGTTACGGTACTGCCTTGTTATGACCATTCGAGACCTTCGGGCTGCTCTGTCTCTGAGTGTCAGTTGGATTCAGCTTCGATCGCTGGTCCACAACCTCCGGACAAGCGGACACGAAAGGCACATCATACACCAGGGACTGGTCCTACTGATGTCGACGCTCCACTTCCACAGACGTTGACAGGATTACTTGCATCCCATGATTCACTTTCATGGTACTGTCATCCCAAGAGGGTTACCCTCGATCAGCCACCCACGTATTATGAGCTCCCGCCACAGCGATACTGACAGCGTTGATACTGGTACTGGTGCCCTGATATGGAGGTCTATATGGAGCCTAAGCACTCTCGATACTCCTTCTACTATTCCGATTCTGGCTCTGAATCTCCACTTCCATACCAACCATGATACCAGGATCAGTCTACCTCAGCAGAGGACTCCTCAATACCAGTACAGACACAGTGAGTTCAGAAGTCCTCCAGAAAGAGGAAACATGCCTCCTCGCATCCCTCTTCTACCAGAACAAATGATATTCAATAAACTTCTGCTGGGCTCAAATGAAAAAGTAATTAAGAAAATGTATGAGTATTTGTTTGAAATTAAAATGCAAGATGAGATGGTAAAAGAATGTATGATTAGGTGGGCACAAAATATAGGACATAATATTGATATTGATCAATGGTTGCAAAGATGGAAAAATAACGTAACTCTCACAAAATCAGTAAATTTCAAGGAGAACATATATGTTTTATATGATTTTGAAAAAATTGTCAAAGATTTATACAGAGGTGTCAAATGTTTGTTGGAAGTGAGAAGCACAAGAGGGAAGCTTCTACCATATGTGGTGGACTTGGAGAGTAGTGAAACAGTACTGGATAGCAATACATACTCTATTACAAAAAATACTGCTTTGTAATATTCCACTAACCCCAGAATTGTTTTTACTGAGCATTATACCAGATAATATAGATAAGACAAAGAGCTACCTAGTTCTATATATATATAGTCACTGCAGCCAGAATTCTTTATGCCAAGAATTGCAGGAAATCAGAGATACCGAAACAAGAGGAACTCATTGAGAAGATACGGGAAGTGGCAGAAATGGATATTCTATCAGAAATGTTGAAAGATTGGCCGATGCAAAAGGCAACTGAATGATGGGATTTATTATATACTGTAAATGGCTTGAGTCACCAGATAGTGCTTGAATAACATAGAATTAAACTAAGTAGTAACTGTAAGTTGAAACCTGGAGGGCCATCAAATTGTAGAAAGACGAAAAGGCTACTTGATATCGCAACATGAACATATTGGATGATAGTACATTTTGTGTTCTCCTTCCCCCTCTCCCCCCCATATCCCCCTCTACCTTTTGTACTCCTTACCTTATCCCTAGTTGTTAAAAATAAAAAAGAAATTAAAAAAAGAAATGTTGCATATATGTGCAGCTGCATATTCTGAAAAATCTGATAAATGTTTAAAAAATTCAGCCTGACCTTACCCCCACTGTCTGCCTAAACTCAATGAAATCTTTTGTTTTGTTTTGCAGACCAAGCCAGTGGCATTTGCTGTAAGGACAAATGTGGGCTATAATCCATCACCCAATGACGATGTGCCAGTCCAAGGCATGTCTATTTCCTTTGAACCCAAAGACTTCCTTCATATCAAAGAGGTAAGGGCAATTGGTGTCTAAAGTAAATATGAGGTGTCATTGAGGGACAGGGGACCCATAGATGTAGCCCACTTACACACAGCAATTTGCAAAGATGTACGCACCTTACACAAAATAAGTCAGAAAAACTCAGTTTTCTTCCTCCCTTTCTGCCTGCTTCATATGTCTCACAATTTGGATGCTGTCTTCTCCACTCCAGAAATACAACAATGATTGGTGGATCGGCCGGCTGGTTAAAGAAGGCTGTGAAGTTGGCTTCATCCCTAGCCCTGTCAAGCTGGAGAACATGAGGGTGCAACAGGAGCAAAAGATGAGGCAACACCGCCTCAGCTCCAGGTGGGATAGGATGAGAGGAGGGGACGGGAGGGGATGGGAGGAAGAAGAGGCAGAACATAGAACAATGGTTCCCAAACCTTGGGCATCACACCCTCTTTTTGATCTTTGAGAAACCCTAATCCTTCCTCACCTCCCTTTTACCACCATCCAACCCCTTTTAACAAGCAATATATACTTTAAAATTAAAAATAAACAAATAAAGTTATATTTCAAATTAACACAAATAGTTTTTGTTAAGAAAGCTTGAATTCAATTTATAATATCTGGCACAGAAATCATTTAAGCTGATGAAAAAGACCCTTTCCAGTATGAAGATTTCACAGTCTTATACTCCCTTTGAGAAATGATGATATAGAATCTTCCACATCATCTTGTGATTGGTGCCTGGCATTCCCATTTAAAGTAGGGTGGGACACCCTTTGGCCTGTCAGATATCTGGCTGTAGCTCCCATCACTCCTGACCATCATGAGATGGTGCAATTTAGAGCCCAATAACATCAGAAGATCAGAGGTTCCCCACTCCTGGTCAATTGCAGTTATGCTGTAGGGAAGTTCTCTTCCTGAGAAATGCAAGGTGCACTTTCTTCAGCCCGAAACCTTGGGCTGCAGTTCCCACCAGCTCCAGCAACTATGCTGGTTGCTGTCCAACACCTCAGGAGGCATCAACTTGGGGAAGGCTCATGTAGGCGACTGCCATCCATCAGAGCTGATAGTATTAAGCAGTTAAACTTAGGACGCTCTCAGATCTATTACTGGGAAGCCTGGAATGGGAGCCGCAGCAACTTGTTTGAAACTATCTCCAAACAGCTTATGTCCTTAAATAAATATGCCTACTGTTGATATAAAAGTGGGAATTTGAAGGACTTAGGAAGGGCTATCATACCAGGACTGGATCATCATGATGTGGGAGATCTAAGAACCTTGGTGTGCATCCGTTGTACCTGAGACCAGGAATGAGATCTTGGAAGCATTCTGTTATGGGTTGCACCTCCTTAAATCCCACAGCTAGCATGGACACTGGGAGGTATAACTCGCAAAAGTAACTTTATCAGATGGAACAGATGCTCCTTCACTGAGAGAGAATGAGATCTATCTCAGTGAAGAAGCGTCATCATCTCATAGTCTTTAGTAAGAAGGTCTTGAGCTTGGGTCTGCTTCTTTGGTCTTTAAACTCTATACCTGTCCTACTTTATTGGCTCTTTCCTTTTGCAGTAAATCAGGAGACAACTCCACCTCCAGCCTGGGAGATGTGGTGACAGGCCCCAGGAGACCCACCCCTCCTGCCAGTGGTAAGACTGTTCCCACCAAACACAGAATGATGTTGGCACCTCCACCTTTCTGGAGCCATCCCAGATGTGAGATGAGGAGAGTTTGAAGCCTCCCGAAAGATATTGCTCACTTTAGCGGCTCTTTATGCTTGGAGCTACATGTGCTACAGAATGAGATGCTAGTCTAGAGGTAGCAGGGTGGGCTGGATCAGTTTTGTTTCTAGGTGCGGGTTGTCATGTTTGAGATGGGGAAAAAAAACACCCTCTCTACAAGTCAAAAAGTTGCACATCAAACAAAGAAGGTGTTAGTCAGCCCAGTCCATTCCCTCTGCCTTGTTTTTGGAATTTGCAAGGAGCTTTTGCTTTTGGCTCACTGAACCATGGGAAGTCTTCAAAAACTGGCAGTCCAGCACCTACACCCTGAAGCAGTACACTGTGCTCTGCTACTATAGAATGATATCACTTATCTGCACATACGTACCTGGCGTGAGTCTTAGGCCTCCATAGTAGCCTTATGACAGTCCTTTTATTGCTTAATGCCCTCCCTTTTTAAAGAATGCTCTGGAAATTGGAATCTCTATTCCGTATGCTTTATTTCCTCCTTCATTCTTTAGATTATATTATTTCATTTCATTTTTATTTTCCTTTCAAGGAATTCCTTTTAATTTGTATTTCTCACCTTTTTCAGTTTCTACTACCTCTCTTTGTTGTTGCTCTTGTTTGTTTGTTTCCTATTTTTTCCCCCTATCTTTTATTTCCTTCTCCCCTTCCCCATCCCCTCCCAGGTCACTTGGACATGACTAACTTAGCTTATGACCCTGACGCCCTTGAATTAGAGGAGGAGGAGGAGGCGGCAACTGAAGAGAACCAGCGAACCCCTAAGACTAGTGTTAGCAGCGTCACCACACCCCCTTCCACCACCAAGCGCATCCCCTTTTTTAAGAAGGTAATAGTGCCCCTGTCTCTCCTCACACTTGCTTGCTATGTTCTCTTATGATGCCTGCCTGTGTGTGTAGGCTTTTCTCACCCAGAAATCAAGCGCTTGTGTGTGTAGGATGGAGGCGTTGGGAGAGGCATGTTCCAGGAGGATATTTGATTAATGGGACTGATCACCCATAGCATAAGGGTGCACTGTGGTGGGCCCCCAAAAGGCAACTGCCCTCCTACTAGGACATAAGGGTGCACTGTGGTGGGCCCCCAAACTGCCCTCCTACTAGGCGAAGACTGGAATGGACAACATCTTGGGGAATACAGAAGAACCAAGAGGCTACACATACTGTGTTTGTCACAAACTTAACATACAAGGCACAAGAGTGGCATGTTCCAGTGATCACACACATTCACATGTGTATGAGTTAAAAGATGCATTGGCAACCAACTGACTCATACCTTCATGTGGATCTTGGCCAATGAATTGGGTCCAACTGACTATACACCTCCTTTTCCCTGTTACATCATGCACCATGGGAGTGCAATGATCAAATGGTTCCTCCCATGGGAGCAATAAAAACAGAATGCTCCAGGACTCCTGTTTTCCTCTCATTCCTTCTCCTCAATATAAATCCTTCAAAGACAAAGATTCTAGTCATTTTCCCCATGAGACCTATGCAAGTCGTATATTCCACTCCTTCCCCTGTACTGTATGAGATCCTGCCATTGTACCAATTCTTCCCTATATGGATTCCAGGGGTGGAGCATTCCTGCAATCCATTCTCTCACCCAAAGGACTTTCCAGTAGTGGAATATTGCTGCATGGGAACCAAAAAGGTGACAGAATCAAACAACTCACTTTGACAGGGAAGCGAAACATCCCAGCACCCCATAACAAGCTTGAATATGGGGTCGATTTCCAACTCCATTTAAAGGAGACATTCCTAATGCTGATTTCCCCCCCACCCCTTTCTCCTCAAGACTACAGTTTGGAATGGTATATGTCTCTGCAGATTCTCCTTTTTTTCCCTTGGAGTGATTTAGAAGAGAAATAGACTGGAGGCTGATTGCTAAACAACCTCTAAAAATGCGGGATAGAAACTACTTGAGGAACAAACTACATGTTACTCTTACAGTCCCAGAATGCTTTGCAACAAATAAAGAGATAGAAGAGAGAGTGTAACTTTTCATTGCCAGCTGCTGCTCTGCAGAAACTCCTTCTTTCACCTAGATTCTGGACCAATGCTCACAAGGGTCTATAATACTGGGTAGGTGGGAAAGGAACAAGCAGGTGGGTGAGGGATTTTTATGCGGGAACAGTTCACAGTAAAATGGGGAAGAACTCCCTTCATCACTATTTCTCCACTGCAATATAGCTCACCTCAAAGGGTCTGTCATGGGTAATATTGTACAAGGCTGCCCAGGCAACATGTTGTTTGGCCTTAGAGGGATTCAAACAGTTGGGCTACCGTGAACAGATAAGTCAACCATGCTGGGCTAGGAGAACATGGCCTAAAGGAGATTTCAAGTCCAGAAATTTCAATCTGAAGGCAATTCCCCACCTCCATTTGTGGGAGTTAATTCAGAGCTGGGACGTGTTCCTTTTCCTATACAACTCGCAGAATCCCTCAGCTAGAATGACCATTGATGATCACTGACTATTTTGGCCAAGGGGTTCCACCAGTGGCCATTCTGGGTGAATGATTCTGAGAGCTGTAGTTTTTAAAAAATGGAACGTAATACACACCACATGTGCTTCCCTGAGCTCTACTTGTGTGCCCCCTCCCACTTTCCTGGGCCTGCCTGTGCTTCTGCTGGAATGAGCTGTCAGTAACATGCATGCCTTGTTTGTTTTTCTCTTGCCTATCTCTCCTTCCGTTCCCATGCCTCCTTGTCCCCCACTCACCCATTAATGGCGATCACTGGACATAGCCAAGCAGAAGCAAAAATCGGTAAGTAAGCTTATAAAATATCAGCCTAGACAGTGGCAGTTTCCCATAGAAATGCTCCCTCCCAGGAGACTTTTCCTATCCACTTAGCAACCAATAGGAAGGTGATATTGAGACCCCAAAGCTTATGTGTGTGATTGCTCCCCCACTCCAATATGCATTCCTTTTTTCTTTAAGGCACAGTCAACAGCAAACCTTGACTGCAACTCCAAGATCTTATGTCATGAATTTCAGCACTCAAACAAGAAGGGTGGGCAGGAGGAATCAGCAAAGGGGAGGGGGGAAAGAGGTGAGAAGGTGTGGTACTAAAGAAGTCAAGGTTCTACATCTGCCTGCATACAGCTGATGCTATATGCATGCATCTACTACTCCTTTATTTTTATTTATTTATTTATTTAAAATATTTATATGCTGCCTTTCTCCCAAAGGATCCAAGATGGATTACAACATTAAAAAAAATAAAGTTAAAATCTAAATAATAAATTATTACAAAATCAAAAAAGCATCAAACAGGCATATTAAAAGTCATAATAAGAGCAGTATTAGAAATAAAAGTAAACCAATGGAATAAAACAATCCCTTTTTAAAATCCCCTTGATCAAGCAGTCATTTAAAGGAAAGTCTGCCTGAAGAGAAAGGTCTTTGCCTGCTTGTGGGAGGACAGCAAAGATGGGGCCAGCCTGGCCTCCTTTGGGAGGGAGCTCCATATTTTGGGAGCAGCAACAGGGAAGGCCCTCTCCTGTGTTCCCACCAAGTGCACCTGTGAGGGTGATGGGATTGAGAGAAAGACCACTCCTGATGATCTTAATACTCAGGTAGGGTCATAAAGTGAGGTGCAGTCTTTCAGATGAGCCATTCTCAATCTTTTTTGGGCCACAGCCATAAACACAATATGAAAGGAATATCAGCTGACTCAGGATTGTATAAGCTGCATAACAAACCTCATAAGGTGGTGTGTGAAGAATTGTTTCCAGTCTCTGGCTCCCTTCAAATGCATCCAAGACCCCGGGGGCTATAAGAACAACTGCTTTAGATAGTTTGGAGCTAGAATCGTAACAAATTTGGCATCAAACAAAGAACAGAGAGTGTTTATTTCTTGTTGTATGCATGTAAGTCACCTGGTCAGTGTTCCAAGACAGATTATGCATGAAGATGTATCAGCTCCATGGAGGCAGTTGTTGTTTATTTCATGCTTCATCCTGCAAGTGTCAGAGTCATATTCTGAAGGGCTGGGACCTCAATGCCCTCTGCTTTTTCTCTCCACACACATCACAGCCTCTCCATGGTGTGTGCATGAAGGAGCTGGCCCCATGAACAAGAAGAGCAGTTAGGGCAGTTTTAATTTCAGTGTTTCAGTTAAGCAATTGAGATTGCGTCTAAACAAACCCAGTGCCTGTGGTACTGAAGTGGAGGTATTCTAGAGCAAGCCTTGTAACTTCTTATTTTCTCTTTCCTTTCAGACCGAACACGTGCCACCATATGACGTGGTTCCTTCCATGCGGCCCATCATTCTTGTTGGCCCATCCTTGAAAGGTTATGAGGTGAGGCATTAAAAGAGGCAAGAAGTGCATGGGGTAGAAAGAGACATGACACTACAGTGAATAGAATGCAGGGACAGGGCAAGGGTCTTGCTTGCTGTGGGAACGAGAAACACTCAGGAGGGCCAGTTCAAGTCTGCGTTGCCTGTCGCAATCCCCTGTTCAAACCCTTTCCAGCCCCTTCTGCCTGGTTACTGGACTGTGGTGTTCCAATCTACTGGAGCTCCTCCCAGCTCTGTTATTTAGGGCCCCCTACTGTAGGCCACGTCCCACCCAGAACGGCCGTGTTTTTAAGTGGCTTTTTACTCTGCTTTCCAATTTCTACTTCCAATATTTTGCTGGATTGTTCTGTTTATAGGCATCCAGCTGTGCAACTTAGGCATTTTTAGTACAATGGGTGGAAATGAATGGGAAGCACTGGGGCACAGAGGCTGGGTGGAAGAAGTGGTGTGCAATTTTCTTCTTTGCATGTTTATTTACAGATGAAATACAGTGGTGCCTCGCATTACGATGTTAATTCGTTCCAGTGAAATCACTGTAAAACGAAAACGTCGTAAAGCGAAAACAAAAAAGCCATTGAAACGCATTAAAGCCTGGTTAATGCGTTCCAAACGGCTAAGAACTCACCATCCAGTGAAGATCCTCCATGGGGCGTCCATTTTCAGGTGCCTGTGCAGCGAAAAATGGCTCCTAAACACAGCGGGGAGCCCTTTTGAGCACCCGGCGGCCATTTTGAAAACCCGCCGATCAGCTGTTTTGATCGTCGGGAAGCGAAAATCGGTTCCCGAAACAGGGAACTGATCATCGCGCAGCGAAATTCACCCATTCAAAATGTCGTAATGCGGATTCGTCATTAAACGGAGCGCTCGTCTTGCGAGGCACCACTGTATCTTGTAATTAGTAACTGCTCTCCTCTGACTCCTGAAAATGCTGTTTGAAAGTTGGTGATGGAATCCCTGCACAGGAAAATCCCCAGCGTTATCTCTGATCTTTGATTGACAATAGTACGGATTCCTTCTCAGTGTGTATATGTATGTGTCAGCTGGGTAGGCAAGGGGTGTCAGAGAAGAAGCAGGGCAAGCAGGGAAATGCAGGCATGCTAGATTAGGCCCACATCCTTTTTTAAAAAAAAATTGGGACCACAGAAATATTTAGCTAATAGAGATGGGCACTAATCACAGTTTGGTGGTCCGGCACAGCTCAGAGGACTGGCCTGCAGGTTGTTGCACAGGTGTTCCGGATTCCATGACCTGCCTCCTCCCACAGAGGAAGAGGTGGAGCAAGGAAGCCCATACCTCTGCTTCTGATGGGGCATTCTTGCGGGCCACTAGTGCCCTGTCCACCTCTCATATATGTATGATTCCCCTGGTTTTAAACCTGACAAATTTAATCTGCCAGTATATGTTTGTTTTTATCTTTTCTCTTTCTGACTCAAATGCTAGTGTACAAGGTGGATTATCAAAACCGCTTTGAAGAGCAGAAGTTAGAACAAGCTCAAAAGTAATCTCTAGTTTATATATATATATCTGCCACTTGGAATCCCACGTGCCCACGAATCATTGCTTTAGCACACATGCTCACTAGTCTTGTGCATGGTTTCATGAATCTGTATAGAAACAGTAACTCAGGAGATCCTGAAAAATATAAACATAATTAGTTGAACAAGGAGGTGAATTATCTAGTTCTAAGTCTGGACAGGCAGAAAGCCTGCAGGGAGGTAATTCAGAAGAATAATTTTGCGGTCTTTCCGTGACACGCTACCCAAACTGAGATAGTGCAGTAGTTGTAGAAGCTGGTAACAAAATCAAAATTTTCATCTCAACCAGAGTGGACCCATTGAATCAAATAAAGTTATAACAATTGGATTTAGGTCTTCATTTGTTTTTCATTTTCTGCCGTTCTGGTGTTTACATGCCACTCAGATGATCTAACAAGCCAACCCAATCATACTCTTTATCCTGAATCAGCTCATTGATTTATCCAGGCCAGTACTGGCTACACAGATCTATAGCAGTTCTCCAAGGTTGCAGGCAGAAGAATTTCCATCCATATCTGGAGATGCTAAGGACTGAACCTGGGAATTCCTGCCAGCATGTGCTCTGTCACTGAGCTACAGCTAGATGTGTGCAGATTTGTGCCTATGGACTACCAGAATTCTCTAGGCAGCTATGCATGACGATTTGTTCTAGCCCAGGTGTGCTGCCTGGGGAATTATGGAAATCCTTGCAGTCCAAAGATGCAGATCTGCACAGAATAACTGTGCAGCGCAGTGTAATTACAGAGAAATTACAAAAATTATAAAACAGATGTGCAATCAAGAAAGCTCATGCCTAAAGCAGTGGCCTGGGATTGTTTCTCTGATGTCACTAATTCTCCAGGCAAAGAAGATTCTGGGCTCTTGTTTGAGCATCACCCCAACGTGACCTTCTTACCATTGCCCTCTTCTCATCAGCAACCCACTGAGAATGGGAAGGAATCAACACCCAATTTGCAGTGCTTTGGTTTAAGCCCCATCACCCAGTACACCATGTGTTGGATGATTGATTTAGTTGTGCAACACTGAAAACACTAAGCAGACGATGCTGAAAGAGGCTAACGTTTAAGAAATAGAAATGGAAATGAAATTCTGCCCTCAAGTCTTTTTCTCAGTAGCTTTTATCCATATAGTGGGACACCCCACACATCTGGATCGCAAGGTCTGTGAGTGCTGGGAAAACACACATCAACAACAAAGCTTGAGCTATTCAGAGAAGCCTTTATTAAGAACCAGGATAAGCATATGGCCTCTTTTTCATCTCTGTTTGTGCATGCAACCCACTTCTATCTCTCAATCCACACAAATTCTACCATTTCAGTTCTGACTTCTTCCCCCCTGCTCCTGTCTGTTTCTCTTTCCCCACCCATTTTACCTTCTTAGGTGACGGACATGATGCAGAAAGCTTTGTTTGATTTCCTGAAACGCCGATTTGATGGCAGGTACAAACCAAAGTCTTGCAGGTTGCAATGGGGGGATCTCGACAACTTCCATTTGTGCTGTAATCTGTATGTCCAGATCCCAGGTCCTGGGGTAGCTCCAAGGGAAACCTGACTGAAGGCATAGGAAATACAGTGGACCCTCGACTTACAGACAGCTCGACTTACAGACTTTTCAAGTTACAGACTTCTGTGGCCGCAAAATTTAGGTTCGACTTACAGCCAGAGAATCAACCTACAGACCAGAAAAAAAAACAAAATGGAACAAAACGGGACAAAAACGGCCGGTTACAGATTAATCGGTTTTCAATGCATTGTAGGTCAATGGAGACTCGCCCTACAGACTTTTCGACCTTTAGCCACCATTCCAATACGGATTAATTCCGTAAGTAGAGGGTCCACTGTAAAAGGTTTGAGGCAGATGTTCTGCCTCCCATAATCTTTATATGTTCCCTACAGTTTTGTTGAGTATGTATCATCTGCCCCTTTTCAAATGTTTCCCCTCCCTTTCCAGAACATAAGAATTAGACATTTCTTCTGAAACTAAAAAATGAAGTACTTTAATTTCTATTAACAGAAAGCTAGATTCACTGACTTGTGCAGAATTCTGATTTTATGCAAGCTGTTTGTTTCTTTGTGTGGATATTGAAATTATTAAATTTCTGTTAGTAGATACTCGGATTATCTCTAGGTTTGCAATCACTTGGATTAAGTCCCTAATGATGAGGTGGGAATGTCTGGCAAATGAGCTTTGCTCTCTGGGGCTTCCCTTCCTTCTGTCTCCTGCAGAATATCAATCACACGTGTGACAGCTGATATCTCCTTGGCTAAGCGCTCTGTCCTCAACAACCCTAGCAAACACACCATCATTGAACGCTCCAGTACTCGCTCTAGTCTAGGTAAGCTGTGGCTGAGACCCTAAGAAGAAAGAAAGTATGGTCCTTTGCCATTTTTATAAGCTTTTTATTTTCTCAGTCTTTCTTTCTTTCTTTCTTTCTTTCTTTCTTTCTTTCTTTCTTTCTTTCTTTCTTTCTTTCTTTCTTTCTTTCTCTCTCTCTCTCTCTCTGTCCCTCCCTCCCTCCTTCTTTCGTTCTTTCTTTCTTTCTTGGTGAGGTAATAGGAGGTAGAGTAGGAAATTGTAACGGTATGTCTGCAGTTGCATGGCACTAATTTATTGCATGATGGGTGTTCAAGCCTTTCTTGCTTGCTTGCCTAATTTTGATCTGTATCAACCAAAAGCAGCTGTTCCAAGATGCTTCTGGATTTCCCATAATGTTTTACAGAATTGCATCTTCTTTTCCTGTCCCTGACAGAATTGGTCCTACACGTATCAGAGATGATTAGGGCTGTTTCCACATCATCAGTGACATGTACAGTGGTGCCTTGCTTAATGATTGCCTCGCTTAATGAGGAAATCGTTGTACGATTAGTTTTTTGCAATTGCTTTTGGGATTGCAAAACAATGGTTTAAATGGGGTTTTTCCACTTTGCGATGATCGGTTCCCTGCTTCGGGAACCGATTTTCGCTTTACGAGGATCAGCAAACAGCTGATCGTCGGGTTTCAAAATGGCTGCTGGCTGAAGAAAATGGCCCCCCGCTGTTTTCTAGGACAGATTCCTCACTTTACAGGCACTGAAAATGGCCGCCATATGGAGGATCTTCGCTGGACGAGCAGGTATTCGGCCCATTGGAACGCATGGAATGGTTTTCAATGCGTTTCAATGGGGTTTTTTATTTCGTTTGATGACGTTTTCGCTCTACAGCGATTTTGCTAGAACGAATTAACGTCATCAAGCGAGGCACCACTGTACTTTAGGATGAAGCTGGGATATACTTTGTGTGGTTGTGACAACTGCTAGATAGCTCAGTGGTTTAGGTGCCTGGCTGCAGAGCCAGAGGTTGGGAGTTCAATTCCCCAGTGTGCCTGTTTTGACAGAGGCTGGGCGTGGTGATCCATAGGGTCCCTTCCAGCTCTGCAGTTCTCAGATAATGATTATGATGATATGACAGTGCACCATCACAATGCATAACAAATCCAAAGGTGGGGCTAGTGGGACTAGAATTCAAATGGTCACTACAGGATGTAGTTCAGAATTTCTGCACCTCTGTGCATGATGGGTGGGGGCAGAATGTTCTTCAGTGAACAGTTGGAAAGAGAGAGACCTGTTGGTTCTGTAAACTGTTGTCTGTTTTCAGTTCCCTGCATCAGTTGGCATCAGACTTGGTTGACCTCTTTGCTGCTTCCCAACTCACTCTTCTCTTTTCCCCCCTTCCTACAATTTTCTTTCCCTTGCATCTGCACCTCCACTTCCCTCCTCTGCTCCTGATACAGATGTCTTGGGTATGTAACCTTTAACCTCACAAGCTGTCAAAAGCACTCAGTAAAAAAAAATTAACTCAGCTTAATTCCAGGATGAGAAGGATGCTTGGTTGAGTAGGATGGATCTATATAATTTTTTTCCCTCCTGGATAGGGAATTTCAAAACCAGAACGAAACTATACACTTTGGTTCTGCCAAAATGTGATAGATTTTTGTTCATTTTGAAATTATTTTCAGTGTGTGAAATGGTAAGCCGCTTCTTTCGTTCTTCCTTATTGTGCCAAAAGTGTAAAAGGCCATGGCAAATCCAGAAAAGACTGTCGTTTATTTGTTTGGTCTAAAAAATAATAATGGTCAGGCTGAAAAGCAGGAATAGTTCTTTCCCCAATTTTAGACTGCAACTCTGTGCCTAATTACCCGGGAGTGAGCCCAGTCGAAACCAGTGGGACTTAGTTCTAATTAAATAGGAACTGAGTGGCACTAGGCAAAAAGTTGTTATAAAAGTCTTTGTGCATTAAATCCCTAGAAAGATGCAAAACAAGCAAGCAAGCAAAACAAACTCCTGCACAGTATCCCATGTAATTAGTAACTGGGCTGTCCAGATGGGTAGTAGAAAATCAATGCTAATTGGAATGGTTATAAAAACTGAAATGAATCAGAACTTGGCAACTTTGGTTTCCATGCTGGTTGGAGTAGGAACTGTAGTCCACATGTAGGAATTATAGTCTAAAACAGTAAATGGTCCCAAACTCTGAAACAAATATATGACATTCTTCATGGTAAAAGGAGCAGAAAGGGAGAGCGGAGTAGAGTAAAAAAAAATTTCCCTGTGGTGAAGCCACGTTAAGGGATGTTAAAAATTTCCACCCAAATAATGGGGGTTTTTTCGTCCACATCCCATTGATTTCAACAAGAAAAGAGTTATTTCTTTTCCCTGTTGGTGCAATGTTCAGAAGTTCAACTCTGGCCACGCCAACATTGTGCCCTAATTTTGGTGTGGTGTCTCCAAATGTGGTCAGTCTCAGCAAGTTCTTAGCTGATTTCTTACTGCATAAAAATGAAGGGCACTGGGGACAATCGGTTGAGAAGGATATATTTTTATTTAGTATGCATTTGTTTTACTTATTACATTTATTGATTTTGACTTTGCTCTAAGGAGCTGCCTCCCCTCATTTATTCTCACAACAAACAGCCCTGTAAAGTAGATTAGGCCAAAAGAAAGAGAACAGCTTAGAGTCACTCAGTGGATTTTGTGACTCAGGGCCCTGTTACATTAGCAATATGTAACACAATACATGTTGGTGTTCTTCAATTAGATTTATAATCATGTGACAGTCGTGGAAATAGTCCAGTAGCTGTGGCCCACCCCTAGGAGCCAGCCAAGAAGAATGCGACTGGCTTCACTGCCACAGCTCCTCTCAGCTAGCTCCTGGGACTGGACCACCAACATGGGGACTCCTACGGGATACCCTTCGCCCTGCCTCCATCCCATGAGTACCAGAATGTTTTATACCTACCGAGGCATTCAAGTAATTCAAATACTTTGAATACTACACTACATGAATTGGACATCCATGATAAATTAAATGATCCTCTGGTGGAAGACTAAATTAGCATGCTTCCTTTCCAAAGAAAGGGTTCCCTGTAAAAAAATAACAATCTGAATTTACTTGTGCATTGTGCAATCACTCTTTTTTATATTGATTGAACTACAGCTCTTCTTACAAGTGTAACCAGGCTCTCAGTAAGGATTTGAATGTGCAAAAGGGGAATGCTTAGGTGATTTTCTTCCCTCTTTTCCTCTTCATTAGTCCATGAATTTTAATTTGTTGACTAGTTTATTAATTAAATTCACCAGATTGTTAAATTGGTAGGCTTTAAAGTATCGCTTAGAATATCTGAAAGTGAATTATCGTTTGAGGTCGTAAAAGAAAATGGTGTGGGCTTATTAAGGATTCCAATCATTTAAAATTAATATATTCGCGAAGACTTTCACAGCCGGGATCTAAGGGGTCACGGACCGCATGGGGAAACTTTCAAAAAGAACACAACCTACAAACAGTATTCAAGCCCACCACAAAAATACAACAAATGTTACGGTCAGCAAAGGACAGAAGGGACTCTCTCACCACTGCAGGAGTATACCGGAAACCTTGCAGTTGTGGCCAGGTATATATTGGAACCACAAAACCAAGCATCCACACCAGAATCAAAGAACATGAGAGACACTACAGACTAAAACAACCAGAAAAATCTGCAGTAGCTGAACATGCCCTGAAACAAACTGGACATGAAATTCTATTTCAAAATACTGAGATATTGGACAACACCAACAATCATTATGTCAGACTGCACAGGGAAGCCACTGAAATCCACAAGCACCAGCACAGTTTCAACAAAAAAGAGGAAAGTGTGAAGCTCAACAAAACTTGGCTCCCAGCTCTCAAAAATACAATGTGCAAAAGGTCAACGAACTCTACCCAGCCACAAGGACAGGGGATCACTACACACAAAAGACCAGCTAATGACACCCATCAACCACAGGAACAGATAATCTCTTCTCCTTAGCACAACAATACACCCACAACAATACACACTAATCACCCATCTACAGAAAAAGACAAAAGCCTATCTCACAGCCATAAATACTGCACTCCCAAGCCAACTACACCAGAGCACAGAGTGCTGTCCTCTGAAGATGCCGGCCACAGAGACTGGCAAAACGTTAGGTAGAACAACCTTCAGAACATGGCCAAAGAGCCCAAAAAATCCACAACAACCATTTAAAATTAACTGCTGAAAAAAGTAATTAATTATAGGAACCCATAGAGGTGGGTTAGTGTTTTCATGGGGGCAAAATAAATACATGCCAAGGTTCAAGTCTGAACTGTTTATTTCGAAGTTCTGTCCAGATGTTGATTAGGCTGCAGCACTCGGAATCTCGTACCATTAATTGTGTTGTTGAGGACTGATGGAAGTTACGATCAACAACATTAGAAGGGCAATACTTGGTCCATTCTTCTCAACAAATGTGAACCTCTAGATCAGGGTGACCCAGTTCAGAGTCTGGGAGATTGATTTCTGTCCTCTGAGGCAGAAAGAGCTGACAGCATATCCATTTTTGCATTCAAATGCAGCCTCTTTCACAGTCACTGACATGCTGTGAGTTACAGCTGGGCAAGCATTAAAACTCTTAACCTGCAGATGTGGATGACGACTCATGGGGGAAATGTAAACTACTCATAGGCCAGTAGCTGAGTCACTACTACACCAGTGAAGTGCCCTCCAGATACGTTGGACTAGAATTCCCACCATCCCTGGCCCCTGCTGTTTGGGGATGATAGAAGTTGCAGTTCAACCCCTTTGGAGAGTAGAAAAACAATTGAAGAGATGTGTGAATATTGATTGCTGCCGTTTTCCCCCCATTGCCCTGCTAACACTGCTTCCTTCTCCACTTGCTGTTTGCTCTCTGCCTTGGCAGCTGAAGTGCAGAGTGAGATAGAGCGCATCTTCGAACTGGCCCGCACCCTGCAGCTGGTAGCCCTGGATGCGGATACCATCAATCACCCGGCTCAGCTCTCCAAGACCTCCTTAGCACCAATTATTGTCTATATCAAGATATCTTCCCCTAAGGTGAGCAAACCCATCTTTTCTTCCCTTCCAGAGCAAGCTAACAACAACACCGCACAGTGACCTTAAAGACCAGCCTGCTTTATCTGGCCAGTTTGGCATATGGCTTCCAAGGACTTCAGCCCCTTTCCTCGGTGGCATGAACTGACAGGCACAGCTAGTTCATTTTTAAGGTGCCATCAGACTCTTTGTTGTCTTTGCTGGACGAGACTAATGGGGCTACTCTTTCTCTCTCAGACACACACAGGCAAACTACAGAGACTGAGGAGGGTGATGGTAGAGCAGTGGTTCCCAACCTTGGCTAACCCAGGTGTTCTTGGACTGCAACTCCCAGAAGCCTTCACCACTAGCTTTGCTCCCGAGGGTTTCTGGGAGCTGCAGTCCAAGAACCCCTGGGTTAGCCAAGGATTGTGGAGGCTTTTTGTGCCAAGCCAAAGCAGAAAAAAAAACACTCGATAGGGCAGGGTGGGATGGGGGGGAGCTGCAGTGCAAGAACCCCTGGGTTAGCCATGGATTGTGGAGGCTTTTTGTGCCAAGCCAGAGCAGAAAAAAACCCAAACAACACTCAATAGGGCAGGGTGGGATGGGATGGAAGTGAGAGCAGCACACAGGACTGTGTTCTGTCAAAAAGTTTGCGTTTGCCATTATAGGTGTCACCTGCCAGTAACTTCAGATATCTTTTTATGAACTTTCCTCCATTCATAAAAAAAAAACATCCTCCAGGAGTTTCTTGTGGGCAGGATCTGGCTTATCCCTGTCTCCAACTCCATCCTCCCTTTCGGATACCTGACATCTCTTTCTCCTCTTTCTTTCCGCCACAGGTGCTGCAGAGGTTGGTGAAATCTAGAGGCAAATCCCAGGCCAAGCACTTGAATGTGCAGATGGTGGCAGCCGACAAATTGGCACAGTGCCCTCCAGTGAGTCCTGAAATTTGGTTCAGTCTGCCTGCTACCCAGGGAGGGAGCAGGATGCCGTTGCCTCTCCACGCCTTTCTGAAAACTGTTTCATGCCTCTATGTGGGTTTTTTAATTCTTTCCCCAGCCCCTACCCAATGGTTTCCAACCTTGGGGAACTCAGGTGTTCTTGGACTGCAGCTCCCAGACACCCCGGCCATGGTGAAGGTTTCTGGGAATCGATGTCCAAGAAAACCTGGGTCCCCAAGGCTGGGAACTACTGCCGTACCCCTACATCACATGTCACATCTTGTTTCCCTGCCTCTAGCAATTTTGGCATTATTCTGTTTCTTTCCAGACTACTATTTTCTTCCGCACCCAACCAGATTACTTTCCCCTAAAACAGTGGTTCTTAACCTTGGGTTACTCAGGTGTTTTTGGACTGCAACTCCCAGAAGCCTTCACCACCAACTGTGCTGGCTGGGATTTCTGGGAGTTGCAGTTCAAAAACACCTAATAACCCAAGGTTAAGAACCACTGCCTAAAACATCTTCTTTTCCGGCCTTCTGTTCTGCCATCCATTTCAGGCAATGCAGAATGCTAAAACAGAGGAGTCCCCCCCCCCCGCCATGACTTAGATAGTAAGCTTGATGGGCGGGGTGGGAAATCTCTTATTCCATGTTTACTACGGCATCTGGCCCACGGGTAGTGTTTTAAATAGATGTAAAGCAGTAATAATACATGCCGACTGTGCAAAGCATGGAAAAAAACATTGTTTTGGACTATAACTTCCAGAATATTAGGTGTCCTTGTGGAGTTTTGGATATTCTGGGAGTTGTAGTACAGAAAGTAATGTTTCCAAGCTTTATTGTTATGGCCTTCACAACTATCTTAGCAGTCTGTCTAAACTTCTCCTTTCCTTACTCGCATTCCTGGATCCTCCTCTTTCTGTTCTCCTTTGTGAGGACGAATCCTTTACATTGGTTTGTCTCTGCAGGAGATGTTTGACATCATCCTTGATGAGAACCAGTTGGAAGATGCCTGTGAGCACCTGGCTGAGTACCTCGAAGCCTATTGGAAAGCCACGCACCCTCCCAGCAGCAACCCACCCAATCCTCTGCTGACCCGCACCATGGCAACTGCCGCCCTGGCTGCTAGTCCCGCCCCAGTCTCCAACCTCCAGGTACAGGTGCTGACCTCACTCAAGCGCAACCTGGGGTTCTGGGGCGGGAGGGGCAGCCTAGACCAAGGGATGCGTGGAGCCGTCCAGGTGGAGGAACACGAGTTGTAGCTTTCGGGGAGGAAAAAAACAACAGGATGTTGTTTCCGAAAGAAAGAAATGAGCACAGGGAAGGCCTGCTGATGAATCTTCCCTTTGATCCACAAAGAACTTCTTGGTGCTGCTTTTTGGTCAAAGTGATCTCTCTCTGCTTCTCCTCCCTCTTTCCTTACACTTCTCGGACAAGCTCCTTGCTAAGAACTCTTCCCTCCTCCTTCAAACACATACTGATTTTGCTGAAAGTATGGCTAGCTTCCTTGCTAGTCTCTCTCTCTCCCCCTGGCCTTTGTCTTGTAAGCCAAGCGTCCTAGGACCGTTGAGAAGCCTTTGAGCAATGAGTGGTACCTACATGACTTAGGGCAGTACTGTTGGCTTCTGTAGGCAGACCTCAAATGGCATCACCAGCAGCCATGTGGAGTGACAGCTTGCCTCCATTGGGTTGTGGGTACCTCTAGGAATCGGCTGGCTCTTCTGTAAATGTGTACATACATGTGAATGCAATGGGGGATTTGCAGGGATGCCAACAGGCAGCCACTTTAGTCTGGGCATGGAACCATTCTGCACAGTTGTCACATCATTTTCCATTTTCTTTATACACAGGATGCAATTAGCAGTAGCCTGCAATATTTAATTTTTGGAGGAACAGCTCCCAGAATTGTCTGGCCAAAATGCCCAGGGATTCTGGGAACTGCAGTCCATGAGAGTAACTTATCTCATGCTCAGGAATTTAGACAGCTGCTTCCCACCCTGTCCTTCAACAAGCAATGGCTTCCTATGGCTACGTTGCAGGAATTCAAAAGGACACAAGGGATCTAAAGGGATCTGGAAAGGTTTTCTGGCCCCCACACTGTGAAATCTATGGCTATAGTAGCCATAAAGCCCATTACTTGTTGCACCTCCTCAAGGGAACATCTTCCCCCACCATGATGTGTAAAACCTGTCCTCTTGGAACAGACTATCCAGTGCAGTGCCTCTGTGTCTTCACTTTAACCATGGCCACTCACTGCACAGAATGACAGGCAGACACTGCAAGCTGTGCTGAGCTGCAAGACCCCTCAGAACATGTAGCCATGCATTTATGATTGTGTAAGCCACTCCTTTTGTAGAGGAATATTAATCCTGGCCACTCATTTAAACGCAGATTTGAAATTGCTAAAAATACACATATGAAAGTAGGATGATAAAGGGAACACTTTTTGTTTTGTTCTATCTGTCTGCTTCTTAAGGAAAAAACAGACAGACAGACTAAAGTGGTCGACATGTTTCTGAAGTCACCCCAGTACAGTTAACTAATAATAAGTGCTGCACCTTCACTCCAACCCTCAGTGGTGTTTGGTTATTGCCTGACATGATAAAAAGTTAGTGTCCAGTGCAACCTCTGAAATCACCCCCCAGAACAATGAGCTAATAAGCACTATATCTTGGGAACATGCCCAGGATCCAGAGAGTCCAGCAGACCAGCACAGGTGGGCAATATGCTTCCTGTTTGATACTAACTCTTTCTTCTGATGTTTGGCTAATGGGTTCTTAAATAAGGTGATTAACTTCTTGCATGTGGGGCAAGCTATTATAATGGGAAGCCCTCATTTCTTCATGAAATTCTTTGCCTCTGTTTAGAATGGAATGCCACTCAAATTCTATATGTTGGGAAGAGGGAAAAGAGCAAGTCAAAGAGTAACTTAAGATGTCAGAGTTACCACCTCTGAAGCTATGCTTTATTGCATGAATATGGGCCATGCTAGCTGGGGCTGATGGCTGGCTAGCAACATTTGCAGTGTCCTAGGCTCCCCACCCCTCTTGCATAGCATACATTGTGTTCTGTACGAGGGATGTGGAAAGCTGGCAATTTTGAATTGGTTGCATATCTCAGAATTTTTAACAGCATGTCTATCCTGTCCTGATTCCTTATTTTTCTACACACACACCAGTTAATGTATATGTGGGTACACATATTTCCTAACATGAGCATTTTCTCCATTAGCTAAAGTGTGTCTGCACACCTTTTCCCAATATCTGCCTTTTAGTTCTTGTATTTCTTCCATTTTGTCCTCAACTTTGTTTCCCTAAAATACCCCACCAGCCTGAGAAATCATTGATTTCCAAGCCAAGATGCACGTCCTCTCACTGCCAATCTTGGGAAGTGCAAAATGTATACAGTAGTCTCATAGAGAAATGTGAACGCAACAAATTTATTTCCCAGGTCTACTCTTACTCAAAGAACCATTTTTAGCAACCTGTTAGAACACCAAATGAAGGAGCTTGTCTGTAGCTATGCAATACCTCCCTCACTATTTTTTCTTAATTGTTTCTGTTTGTATTTAATTACAAACTTGTTTGGCCTTTCCAAGGGACCAAAAATGGATGCTTTTTACCTGCTTAATTCATAGGGCAAGGGAATAGAAACATTGCCCAGATAAATATTTTACAGGGCGTGATGGGAATGAACACTTTTTCCATAGACAGGTTCACCAGTCGTTGACAGCCCCTTGTTCTAACCCGGTTTGGGGACAAGGCTCCTCTTTGCTGTGTTATGGCTGCACACTAACCCTTGCCTTATCTTTCTCTCCCCTTCGGATGCATGGTGTGCCGTGACTTGCCTCTTTCCACCAGGGACCCTACTTAGTGCATGGGGAGGAGCCTCTCGACGCCGAGCGCACCAGCCTGCACGAGTATGCAGGGCAGCCAGTTGGGCGTGGCCAGATCCGCTCCATGCAGCCTCCCTCACACTTTGCGGCCCAGAGCCTTTCCCGCCAGGACACCTTTGATGCTGAGGCGCAGGGCAGCCGCGATTCTGCATACATCGATCCCGTGGATTCCTGCATGGACATTGAGACCGACCCCTATGAGGAGCCAGAGCCTCGGTGCCCCCAAGGCCTGGGTCGCCGCCACCCTCAGTGCCAGAGCTCCTGGGAGGCTGAGGAGCCCGAACCTCATCGCAGTCAATACCGGGGCCATCGTCACCTGCAGGGCTCCTGGGAGGCTGAGGAGCCTGACCAACAAAACCACAACCGGCCTCTGCGTGGGCGTGGAAAGGGGCGGGAGCGCTACTGTCAGGACGAGGAGGAAGCCCTGGGCTGTAACCATAACAACATGGAGGACTGGGGCCGTGACCCCTACATCCGTTAAGGCCCAGAGGGGCAGGGCTGTTATCCATTGAGGGAGAGGCCTCTTCCCACTCAGAGCCTTGGGGTGAGGTGGGGTGGGGCTACAGATGTCTTCAGTCATGTGGCACCTGGGAGTAGATGCGATCTGTTAGAAGCTTGGCCTTCATCCCACCAGGCCCCGGCAGGCGGTGGATAGGTGAAGCGTTTGCATCCCAAATGCTCCACCACCCCAGGTCAGGTCTGTGAGTGAACTCCCTTCCCCACTATTCTCATTTGGGGATGCCCTCCACCCCCTTCCCCTCTTGCCTTTGCAATCTGTGCCAACAATCTCTCTGAACATCCTCATCCTGCCAGCCAGCACTGCCTGGCCTTTTCCCACAAGGTCATAAATTATCACATATACCTTAAATTCCTCTTTCAACTCGGGAGGGTCCCCCAGTGGACCCGGAGAGGGAGAGAGAGAGAGCCAGTCTCCATTGGTGCCTCGGATCACCCGAACACTTGGGTAACAGCTGCAGTGGACAGCTGACCATTTGCTGACTGTGATCCTTCCTGCCTGAGTGCCACCTCACCCAAGTCCACACAGCTCTCAGTCTGCCACGTCTCCTCCTCCTCTGCAAGTGTAAGCTGTCATCAGTCTGTTCTTTTGCCTTTCCCATCCGTACTCTAGTAGCTCATCCGCTAGAAGGCAGAGAGTGCCAATTCCAAATTTCCTCTCGTGGGTTTTACTCAACTGCAAGACTGTCTCCGGTGCCTACAAACAAAATCCAGTCCAGTCACCTGAAATGTTTTGACCCAACCTATCCTCCAGTGCCTCAGCTTATATGACCCTTCTGGATGTACTTAATTTCCTGGACAATTCCTAGGAGTACGGTGTGTGTGTGCATGTGTGGCATGTGCCATGCCTAAGGGGGAGGAAGGTTTGAAGCATCTCTCCCTCAGACATGCCTGTATCTTGCTGTTTTGCTCTTAACACTGGTTTTCAAAACCTTTTCCCAGCCTGTGTGACAGCTTGGCCTCTGGTGTTTGTTATAGAAAAGAAAGGAAGTCATTACCAGGATTGAGAAACTAAAAAGAGGGGTTTTTATTTTAAAGACACAAATGTCTTCCTGCAGGCTTTGCTGCAGGAGATACCTTTTCTCACAGTAGGAAGTAAGAGGTCTATCCCAGAGCACGGAAATAATCTTGTTTCTGTTCCTGCTAATATATACGGTATATACATTACATTATGATAGTAACTTAATAAGGGAAAACGTCATTCCTTCTGAAGTGTAACAATAGCTTTTTAATTGTTTTTATGGAAAAAGGGCATAGACTCATTAAATGATAGAGAAAGAATATGTGTTTTCAGTGCTGTGTCGCACAGCCCCTTATGTGAGTGAATGAAGAACATATAGATTCTTTTTTTAAAAAATCAACAAACGTAATTATTTAGTTACTTTGAGAAACAGTACAGTTGGTTTTATAAGTTGTAGCTATAAGACAGCTGGCATCTTTTAGGGAAGGACCGAATGATAACATCAGCAAATTAGTTCTTTAAAGCATCTTTCCAAGCTCTGGCCTATCGAACTGTTGCGTCTTCCTTTCAGAGGATATCCCTTTCTAGTAAAACTACAGAAATTAGCTTATCTTTATCTTACAAAACAAGACAGCAAGGAAGCTTTGCTAACGTGTGAAGGTGCACCTAGTTACAACTGCTGGCATGCATGCATTGCAGGTACAACAAAAATACAGGACTCTCAGTGGAGAGAAATGGAAAATAAAAGGCATTCACTGGGCCTGCTGCCACTCTGTCCTCCTGTGCAGGGTTAGGGACCATCCGGATCTGCAGAGGCAGTGGATGGACTTCAGCCTGGACCATTTGGTTACTTTATAAACCACGGTGGCAAAGTACTCGCTCTGCTTCTTTCTCCAAATATTAGCAGTAGAGATGATAGATTCTGCCTTATTCAGATCCACCTTTTGGGCTTCACGTTAATGCCAAGATCTGCCTTCTGCCCTTAATTCAAAAGCCTCTCTGGTCCACACATGCCCTTTATTAAAATGTCACCGTTGCTTGGAATTTAATTGACAAGCCTGACTTCTGCACACCAGGACCTACTGGGGATTGATTCATACCATAAACATTTAGACCTGCTAACCATATTCCACCTGCTTCTGAAGGGATGTAGGATAACTGATATGTGCATTTTTTTTACCAAAAAAAGGGATGTTCATTTTCTTAGTCTTACAAACCCCACAAGGGTTTCTATGACCAGCTGAACTCAATCCTTTGCATCCACCCACTCTACACCCTGTGATTTATAGTACGTATACCTGATGCCTCAGTCTCTACTAGAACACCACTGCTGTTCTCAGCATGAATGTATAACAATTCAGCAGATAAAGACGCTGAAAACTCAGTTTTCAAGTCAATATAAAACTTGGCCTTAGATCAGGCCTTAAGGCCTTAGGGTATATTCTTTTATCTGATAATGCTTGGAGAGCTTGCTCTTATCAGCTGGGGGCAGGTATGGAGGTTCAGATAGCACGAAACACAATCCAGACTCATCCAGCAGAATTAATAGGAGCAACTGAAATTAAAGAAGATTTGCAAGTACATAAACTAGATGGTGATAAGAAATACAGGTTGGAAACAGGACACGTGGTTTTCATTCTTTTTGGAGAGGTCAAATTCAGCACCAACTGGAGATGATTGATGTTTGACAGACCCTGCCCTTATATTTGGGAGAGTGCAGAATGACATTCACACTAACTCTCTTTGACTTTGGTGATTCAATAGATTTCCCCACTGACATAGCTGTTACCAGATGTTTTTGGTCCTTGGGTTTAATCCTTTATTTTGATTTTTTTTTGTATTCTCTTAAAACCACCTGGTATCTTGGATCCCTTATTTTAAGTGTCTGCCCCTTATTTCAGACCCTTGCACGCCTACAGCACTTTAATGGATGGTCTCTATATCAGACTCCATAGCTCATAATATTGCTTGTTTTCAAAAATGTTGATCTGGGAACTGTAGCAATCCCTTGGCTATCAGACTGCTATTTGATAAGATATAATGAATGACCTTGGGAACGGGAACAGAGCATCTAAGTTTCTTAGGTCCTCATTTGTTTTAGGCTTTCTCCTTTATGCCATGCTTTGGGAATAATCCTAATGGATGACATTAATGGGCCTAGCTAGATTAAATTTTCAGTATCTTCAAGTTTGTATCTATGGCTGATTTCACATGTCTCTCTTCCACTTGTTGGAGCTTCAGTGAAGATACGGATTTGCAAATGTCATGTGCTCGCTACCAAATGAGTAAGAATTATAAAGGAGGGTGGGAGTTGGATACTTAGCCAGCAGGCAAAAAGATTGCAAATGGGATTTGAACAATGTGACAAATGTATTTATCAAGTTCTTTTAAGAGAGTGTATTTTATATTATTTATTCTTAGCATTGCTCCTCGGGTTGAGATTCCTTAGCCAAACTCGAATTCTTTGTCATGAATAATTATAACAAAGGGTTCTGAAGAGAGAGAGAAAAGGAAGGAGGAGAGGGTTCTAAAGAATATACTTTTGAGCTTTCAGACAATGAAGCATGACCAGTCCCATTCCCTGCCTTATATCTGCACCTTTTGGATTTATTCTCCACCTTGGGTTGTTTTGCTGTTTAATTTGGGGTGGGGAGGAATAAGGTTATTGATGATAGAAAATAAATCCTGCCAAGTCTCTGCCTCATTGTTAGACAATTTGATTACTCAGTGCTCCAATGACTTAAGCCCATTGCCGTGGGAATAAAAGTATTTTGTAAAATGTATTTGCTTTGAAGTATTTTATTGTGTGCGGTGGGGAAGAATGGGATATAAGATAAAATGGCAATACTTTCCAGACCAAGCAGAGTAGAATGTACTGGGCTATCCACTTGGTCATAAATTCCTCATGCTAAAAAGATATACACAGGGGGGAAATGCATCTGTGAATATATAGAATTAGCAACCACCGCGAAAGTTAGGAAAGGATGGTGACAAAGCTGACTTAGGGCATTTGAACATAACCACCATAACGAGCATCAAAGCAAGATACCACTCATTTCCACCACTGCCCCCATTAGAAAGAGGCATGTATCCATGATGTGAAAGAATAATTTTTAAGCTATATTACATTAATAAGGTTTCGGTCAAGCTATGTAGTTATAGCCCGTCTTGTGCGGTAATAATAAGAAATGCATCCTCCGAGTGCCAAACACCATCTCTGTGCAAGAGGAGTGGCATCAACAGGTTTTTGGGAATCCCCAAGTTTGCAGAAATGCCCAGACATCAGCACAGAAACACGAAGGGACAAAAAGCACAACTTCCTCAAAAGCCCAGAAGGGTAGCAACGGGCACAAAATGCTGACTGACTGAGGCTGCAAATACACTGGCAAGGGGAATTGGAGGAATTTGGCTTTGCTTTGGCTTGATTTGCAGCCTGTCTTATGCTTCTGTTTGGACTAGGTGATCACACAGAGACTGGATTGTTTCAGTGCCAGAGTCCACACTGGCCCCTCAATCGAATGTGGTGGGATCCATGCCACGGCCCCCAGTCCTTTGATCTTGCCCTCTGCTCATCATCAGCTCCCCTTTTATTATTTAGTTCTTTGTTTTGTTTTTTTCCCAATAACAGCATCCAAAGCAGCTCCCAATATTGAAAATAATAGAATTAAAAACCATTAATAAAACAATTAAACTAGACCCTACTTAAAATACAACTGAATAATTAAAAGCAGGTAAATATTTAAAACTTAACTTTAAAAAAAAAAGCATTCAGGGACTCAATCATGATTGTTTAAAGTTCTGCCTGAGAAGATGGGTCTTCAGCTGTCAGCAAAAGGATAAAATGGAGGGGGCCGGACTCGTCTCCCGAGGGAGAGCATTCCACAATCTGGAAGGTGCTACAGAGAAGGCCTTCTCTCTTGTGCCTCCACAGCTGTGTCTGCACTGGCAATGGGACCAAGAGAAGGGCCTCCTCTGATTATCTTAAATGCCAAAAATGCTCATATGGGCAGATACAGTCCTTCAGTTATCCTGGTTCATCGTAAAACCAGCAGGCTGTTTAGAGTGCTGCATGGCACTAAGGGAAAGTTTTCCAAAGTTCTCCATAACATACAAACAGATACATACATACTGCGGAAACCTAGTAGTCTGCTGTAATTCGTTGGAGTTGTTTCTATTTCATATCTTCTTTTTTTTTGGTTGGTCAGTGCAGAGGTGATCCCATACTAAACTTGGTAATTTGTTTTAAAACTACCCAGATGGTGCTCCTTCACATTCTTGTAAGGATGTAGGCTGGCTAGGCACAGCCTAAAGGTGATGTGGCCAACAGTCCCCTTGCCGCAACACATCAGCCTCTATGGCACCATTTGAATGAACATCTCTTCTAAAGTTTCTCCCAACTCAACCTAGAGATGCCAAGAGCTGAACCTGTAACTTTCTACAAGCAAAGTTTGGGCTTTACGACTGAAACTTCTACCTCGTACATTCTCCTCTCCTATTACTGTCATCAGTGGCTTGCTTGGGAAGAAATATTACTGATACGTACCATTCTTACTGCAAGAGCCCAGTCCAGTCAAATGGACTCCAAGCCCCCCAAAATTTCTGCTCAGTTGCACACAGGAGCCTTCCGTGTAGGCCCTTTGGACTGGATGGGAAGGCCCTGTCAATCTGCATCTTCAGTAATGCTCACGATGCATAAAATGTCCTATATGCGAGTGCCACTTGGTGTTCATTAGTATGTACTACAGCTCTACACAGCTGGAATGGTATATTGACCTTTAACAGAAATGTTTCTCATTACAAATGTCATAATGTTCCATGCCATGGGGCCTTCAAAACAAAAAAGTACACAGAAATGTGCTTCCTAGACCTTTAGTCCAAAAGTGGCTTTGGTACAGCACAGAGGAATGAGTTGAATAAAAATTGTGGTAAATGTAAGGGGGATGTGCCTTGACAAAGTGAAATGCTTTTTTCTCAGTGCTTTTCTTCCTCTTTTCAACTTACTTGGTGAATGATCAAATAACGTATCTCATTAACGTTGAACCATTTAATACATTTTTGTGAACGTGATCAATTCGTTCATTTGCTTAGCGTTTGGTCAATTCCTTAAATTGAGAATTGTAATTTAAAATTGTTAAAAATGGCCCCAAATGAGTTACAATAACAAACAAAAAGAGGGTTGTTGCTCAGAAATAAGACTGTTGCTTTAGAATTAATTAATCAAAAAAATTAAACTGAGAATGATAATACACTAATATAGAAAATATACCAATCCCTAGAAATATTGCTAATAAATAAATTAGGTTTTGCTAGTAGTAAAGTCTAAGCAACATAATTCTGTTAATACACTAATATAGAAAATATACCAATCTCTAGAAATATTACTAATAAATAAATTAGGTTTTGCTAGTACCTAGTAAAGTCTAAGCAGCATAATTCTGTGTTTTTATTTCCTTTTCAAAAGTTGCTGGATATTTCTGAATGCCTGTACTTGAATTCTAAATAAATGCACTCAACTCAAATCTAGATTTGATTTAGATCGTTTATATAACCTGGGGTTGATTTGATCAAGGTGGTTTTCAGATTATAATTAAATTTGACCATACTGTAGTTTCAAGGAAGCTCTGTCAAAAAAAGAGAGAGAAAAAACTGTCCTTCATAAGTGTAAACTCATATTTAAATTTCCTACATTGGATTTTGATATAACATCTCCATGGGTCACAGAGGCAGCCATGGATGTTATGCAGCTTCTTCTACCCTACCTTTCATGGGTTGAAGCACAGATTTGCGTTTGTCTCATCTACATCATCTAGAATAACTATGTACTTCCAATGATTCTCCTCTTCTTAAACTTCCCGCTGAACAACCACCAGATAGAAATAGCTAGGCAAAAGTTCTTAAAGCTTCTTGTGTAAACATAAAGTCTGCTTATATTTAAAATGCTAAAAAGCTTATAGTTCCTGTCACTTGTAGAGAAAAAGGTGGTTGGGATGTGACCACACAAGGCATTTGACCACTTAACACAGTGGCCATACCGGATAGGCCAAGGATGGCAAGTGAGTGGCTCTCCATATCTGGTGGAACTGCAGCTCCCAACAGACCCAACCAGTGGCAAAGAACAGTGGGAGCTGCAGTTTTAGAAGACCTGAGGGGTCACAATTTCCATGCCTGATAACACCATAAGATCGCACATCTAATCCTGTTATCAGATGTTCTCAAGCCATTTCCAAAAAGATGGAGTTGATGTTGTGAGGATAGCACAAAAGTCCACCCCAACCACTGTAAGTTTGCAGTATGTCAGTGCTATAATTTGGGGAGCGAGGAGAATGCCATATTGCTCCTGTCATTGTGAAACAGTTGGGAGTCCCTGTCAATGTAGTGCAAATCATCAAAAGATCTTAAAGAACTCCCTGCTACTCACCATTGTTGTAGAACAGCTTTGAGGCAGAGTGTGTGTGTGTTAAGTTTTATGTCCTGGGAGTATCAGGAAATTGAAAACAAGTTCAGCACGATGAAGACAGGAGAAGATGTTATACCAGGTTCTTTTTTGCGCTATAAACCCAGTCATATCATTGGCCTGCTAGGTATATGTAACTACAACATGAAATACTGGTGCTGTCAGATTTCTTCTTTTTCTGATGTGTCAGGTTGATTGCCTGCTTTTTTAAAAATGATACGTGCATAATTATTCATTTCTTTCTTCATTCATCTTTTGCCCTTCCTTTTTTTAAAAAGGTAACATTTGACAAAGAATTACAAAACTGTTCCACAGATATAGGGTAGTAAGGAGGTTCGTAACATCACAAAAAGTAGCCAGTAGGTGCCATCCACAGATGTAATCTCCCCATTCAAATATCATTAAGCTGGCAAAATGGCAATCCTTCTGAAATTTTAATGAGCTATCAGCAGCACCTTAAAGACTAACTGCTATATTCTAATGAGAGCTTTCGTAGACAAGTTTACTTCCTCAGATCTCTACTTCCTCAATCTGAGGACATGGACTTGTCCACGAAAGCGCACATTAAACTATAGCAGTTGGTCTTTAAGATGCCACAATGTTCTTGTCTTCTTTATTTTTTATTTTTCTTTCGTTTTTGCCTGCTATGCTAGCACAGAGTAACACAGCTACCTCTTCTAAAACTAGTCTTAGATCTTGGCAAATTTTGCACCGAGCAGAGTAATACAGCTACCTCTTCTAAAACTAGTCTTGGATCTTGGCAAATTTTGCACCAAGTTCTTCAAAGAGTTGTGTTCAGCTAAGCACACTTGCAGAGTTCCCATGGCTGATTTCTTATCAGCCATGGGATTTCTTATCAGGAGAGCATTTTAAGTGCATTCATCCAAATCAGTACTTGGCAGACCTTTGAGCTGTACATATACAAGTCTAAAAGACAGGCAGGCAGGGAGAGATGAGGGGAGTTAAAAATTATGTATACCTTCAAAGAGTTGTGTTCAGCTAAGCACACTTGCAGAGTTCCCATGGCTGATTTCTTATCAGCCATGGGATTTCTTATCAGGAGAGCATTTTAAGTGCATTCATCCAAATCAGTACTTGGCAGACCTTTGAGCTGTACATATACAAGTCTAAAAGACAGGCAGGCAGGGAGAGATGAGGGGAGTTAAAAATTATGTATACACCCTGATCCCCATCCCAATGATGCAAGCTAGGGAACATTTGACCTATTGCCTTGGCAGACCTTTGAGCTGAACATATACAAGTCTAAAAGACAGGCAGGCAGGGAGAGATGAGGGGAGTTAAAAATTATGTATACA